CAGTCTGCCCAGCAGGCCGCGTTGCGGGTCGGCCGGGCGTCTGACCGTTGCCAGGTTGAGTTTGCGTGGGTTTCCCCTAAACCCCCCTGGAACACCGGTGACACGTGGGAGAACCAAACCTCAAAACAGTGAGCTCGCCCTGGGCTGCAGGGCCTGGACACCCGCCCCCCAAGTTCAGTGTTTGTGGTGCAGAGCCCGGCTCCATCTAAATAAGAGAAAATACTCGGAAGGAAAAGGCGTTGCTGACCTCCTCCGGGTGGGAGAGGGTCGCGGGAGCCTGTGCTGCCGCCCGCACTGGCCTTCTGCCTGGGAGTAAGTGCCCAGCTGTGCCCGCCGCCTTCGGGGAATAGTGACAGTAACAATAGGCGGGTTTATGGCTGCCCTTACTGTTCTCAGCACATTACGTATTGAGTTTCACAATAACCCCGTTTGTTAAAGACGGTTACCTACCGTTATTCTTCCTCTTCTACAGGCGAGAGGACTGTGGCTCAGAGGGATATTCAGTGACTTGCATAGCCTATAATTAACGGAGGGAGGGATGAGGCCAGGCAGTATGGCCTCGGGGTGGGGGGTATTAGGCACTAAACTGCCCCCCTGGTCAAGTCCATTCTGCAGTGGCTCCTGCCCCGCTCGCAGGCACCCCCTCCGCAGCCCACCTGTGGCTTGCAGAGCCTCCAAGAGTAAAAGTGAAACCCAAGTTCAGGGTTTCTCAGCCACACGCCATATTCTACAACCCGGGGGGAGGAGTTGGGGGGAAGAAGTGCTTGGGGGCACCCCTCAGGGGCTTCACGCTGTGGCCTGAAATGGGTTATTCTGTCTCCAAACCCAAAGAAGATATTGAGAGTGACTCCATGGGTGTCACTCCATAAGCACTGGTGCTTCTTATTGGTGGCAGGCTGACAGCACAGCTCTGCCTAAAAGTAGACAGATTTATACCTATGTACACGTGCACACACAGTGCTAGACAGACAATCCGGGACATGGGAAAAGTGTATCTTCAAGTATTTTCCGTGGGGGAGGTGTGTGTGTGTGTGTGTGTGTGTGTGTGTGTGTTTTACCTACGTTGGAGGGAAGTGTACTAGGAGGTGAAGAGCAGGTGTGAGGGTTGACAAGGGGTGATTCTTCGGTACTCTTCTATAGAAGATGAATTAGCCTAATGATTCAGACTGTCAGGGTTTTGCCACCTGGCTCTACCCTGGTCTGTCTGTCTGGCCTCAGGAGGCTGACTGGCCTTCTCTGTGCTCAGTTTCCTCGTCTGTACAAATGGCCATAGTGTCTCTGGGCTGTAGCTGGAGATGGGATTTGCAGGAACATTTTGTCCTCTCGCCTCTCTCCGCATTCCAGAATAGCCTGTGGTCTGCAGTGCCCGGCTGGTTGATCTCAGCAGTAGCGCCAGCACTTGAGGACATGGTAGCTGGGGACTGAAGACTGGTGGTCAGTCTGGGGCTGCCATACGAATCCCCACCGACTCGGTGGCTTAAAGCAGCAGAGCTTGCTTCTCTCACAGGAGGCAGCCAGAGTCCAGAGCCAAGGTGTCTCGGGACTGTGCTTCCTCCGCAGGCTTTGGGGGCGGTCCTTCCTGCCTCGTCCTGCTCCTGGGGCTCCAGGTGGCCATGACACTTGAGTCTCTGCCCCCATGGTTACATGGCCTCCTCTGTGTATGTCCTATCAGGACACATCACTGGATATAGGGCCACCTGCATAATCCAGGATGGCCTCATCTCGAGATCCTCAACTTAATCACATCTGCAAAGACCCTTTTCTAACTAAGTTAACGTTCGTGGTTCCAGGGAATTGACACGGATATATCCTTTTAGAGGCCGTGGTTCGGGATGGGTTGGGGGAGTAGCCCCATTTCCTTCCTTCTAGCAACTCCCAGCCCTTTCTTCAGTGTCCCCTGTCCAAACAGATAGTTCTACCACAGCCCGTCCCAGCCACCAAATCTTCAGCAGGCCACACCTCCGTGTCTTGGGGCGGCATTGGCTGGGGTGGGATTAGAAGGCACTGTTGGGCTTTCTGTGACCTCCAGCCCCTCTGCTGCCAGGTGACTTCAGCTTTGCAGGAGGACCTCTGGTGTACCCAGCACTTGGGTCAGCACAGAGAAGTCCATTGGGGTATCTGTCTCCTAAGGAGCTGCCCCAAACCTCTGGTCAATCATTTTGTTCTTTCTTTCTTTCCCTAGACCTTTATGCAGCATTTGACATCATATGCGATCACGTGGGGAAGGACTGGAGAAGACTGGCTCGTCAGCTGAAAGTGTCTGACAGCAAGATCGATGCCATCGAGGTGAAGTATCCCCGCAACCTGACAGAGCAGGTGAGGGAGTCGCTGAGAGTCTGGAAGAGCACCGCACGGGAGCGAGCGGCCGTGCCCCACCTTGTGGAGGCGCTCAGGGCCTGCCGGCTCAACCTGGTGGCAGACCTCATCGAGGAGCACCAGCAGGCCCGGGACCTCCAGCGCGAGAACGAGAGCGGAAGCAGCACTATGTCCCTCATGTCGTGGGACGTGGACGCACCCAGCACAAGAGCCTCCTCCTGACCCCGCTGCTCTTCTCCAGGGACCCCTCCACCGAGCTTGACCAGGGCTTCCGTGCGCCTGCGCTGTGAAGACCTCACAGTGAGCCAGGACAAGGAGCCCCAGCGCTCACTGGCACGGCCACAGGCATCTTGGCCAAAGCGCTGACTTGGCACACACTGTGCCAGGTGGAGCTTCGGGCCTGGTACCCGTACATCCATTCATTCTTCTTGATCACCCTGTGAAAGGGAGTCTGGCCTCCATTAAGTGAGTTCCTCCAGGGGGATTTTGGAACCATATCCAGCACATAAGGGATTAGCCCTGGTTGTTACCTCACGATTCTCAGGAGAGGGAGTGAGCTCAGAGTTAAGGCACTGGAGGGAACTGGGGTTGGTGCCAGCAGAGCTGGGATTGGAGGCAGTGCGCCAGCTCAGAGCCCACTCTGCTCGTGAGGCTGTCCGTGCGGACCATGTGCTAGGGCAGCGCGTGGGCGAGAAGCACCCTTGCTCCAGCCCCTGCCCCTGCCCCTGAGGGAGCTGTCTCCTCTGAGGTGGTGCCTGTTCGGGGCTCAGAAGTGAAGTGATCGCACAGTCAGCCCTACACTCAGTCCTTAGAAGCACTATGATTCCTGTGAATCCAGTTACTATTGTATCAAAATCACTATTTTTCTGGTAACAGAATTGGCAAGGGACTGGGATCTGTAATTTTAAAAAGCAATCTTCCTGTTTCTACAGTAATCCTACTAAGCAAATGCCTTTATAGCAAAAATCTCCCTATTACAGATAATTTTCTATTTCTATCGATTTTATATCACATATTCTCAAGAGTCCCATCTCAGCCAATCATGGTCTCCCTCGCAGCCCATCCTGGGCTCAGCCTGTGAGTGGCCGCATTTCCTCACAGTTGCCCCCACCTCTGAATAGGGGAGTGTTACCCTCAGGAAACCGGGGTCTGAGGAGGGCAGCGTTCACTGCTTGGGCCCTGCCTACCTCCAAGAGGCTCCCGGGAGCCAGGTGGTGTCCCTAGTCTGGGCCTTCCAGCTGCCACCTTGGAACAGCCACATGTGATGGGATGTCATGCGTGCTGCCTCGCCCTGAGGACCTAGCCACTGCCCCCACTAAATGTGGACCCAGCCCTTGAGCCCCCACACCTTCAGCAGATACTTCCTATGCCAGGAGCTGGGGCCACAGCAGCACACAGGACAGAATGGCTCTACTCCGTTCACCCCAAAAGCCTGCCTGGAACAGGGCGTTAACCAACCCATCACAGGTCTGGGTGCTACCAAGGAGCTGAGCTGGTTTCAGTCCCATACGGTGTGGTCCAGCCCCGTGTTAACGCTACACACCCCCACCTACCAGCAGCACCCTCTTCAAGCCCCAGGCCAGGCCCAGTTCTGCAGACAGCAGACGTCATCACCATCAGCAAATGTGAGTGGCTTCGCGAATGGGTAGCTTTGGGAATTGAGTTTTCTGGGCAGTGTGTCCATATTTCTTGCCCAGAAATAGGTTTTAGAGGTTCTGCCATTCCTATGGTTTTTGGTGTCCACTGCTGAAATGGGGAAGTGTGGAGCAGCATCCTCCCTCCCCCACATCCTACCTCTCCCACATGCTATAAGAACCCCAGCCCTCCATCATGCCAGGTGCTCCGATAGAGGCTTTGATGGGCCTGGTTGCTGTACCCGGAATTTCCCATTGCCCGGGAGAGAGACACGGGCTCGATCCTCAGCTCTGCTGCCAGCTTGCTCCAGTGGCCCATCACCCAGTGCCACGTGCAGTGAGGCACTGACATCCCAGGACTCCTGTCCCTGTGGTGAGGGAGGAGCCCTAGCCTTGGGGCAGCCTCACGTCATCCTCTGTGTGATCTAATCTCCCTCAAACAAAGCTTGGATCTTGAGTTGTAAAACTCTGCACAGGTGATGGGTGACAAAATGCCTCCAACTGATGCTGCTGGGCCCAGGGGGTCCTTGTCCTGGGCTGCTGTGTGCCACCAGGTCAGAGCCATAGAGTGGGGTGAACTTGCAGAGAATCGGGCCCCTGAAGATGAGGCTTCGAGCCAGATAGAAGCGTGCACATGGTCGGGAGGCTTCCATGGGACTGCCACCGAGCCTGGCGGTGAGACTCGGTCGAACAGGACACGCAGCCTGTCCTTGAGATGCACAGTGTCCCCAGTTTTGTAAAACAAGGAAACATAAAACATACACACAGCTTGTACAAAGCACAGATGGGCACAGAAGTGAAATGTACACAGCAAGCATCTGAGAACGGTTATTTGCTGATGACAGGGTTACTGTACTTGTGTTTTCCGCATTTTCTTTGATGTGTGGGGTAACCTGGACTATTTGGTGGGGTGTTCTGCCCCTGGAGAGCATGTGGTTCGAGTTTGACACCGGTGGCAAAGGCTGCTTCCTCAGAACGTTCTAGGCCTTTCCATAGCCTCTCCTGGGACAGACGGGATTGATGTCTGATCAGAGCTATGGCCTTGACAGGGTCAGTTCCACCACCCAAAGGAGGGAGCTGCTACAATTTTTGGACAAGGAGTTCTCATAGCAACCCATGTGCCTTATTTTTTGCAATCGTGAAATCGTATGTTTCTAATAAAGGTGTGTAGACAAGTCAACTTGAAAGCTGAAGTTAAGGGCATGTTTTGCTCTTTTCACTCTTTTCCCCTGAAAAAGAGAGGCCTGTGTGTTTCCCAGATTTCAGGCCAATCAAGGGGAACTGGATCAAGCGTCTCCTGGAACAAAGGGCCAACGCCTGGCCTGCCCACCCCTCCTGAGTGCTCTGACTTCACACCCTCTCACCCCTTCACACCACAGCCAGTCCTGCCCTGGACTCACACGGGGCTCTGTCAGTCACCCCGCCTCCAGGGTCACCAGCCACTGGTGGGAGGCCCTCGTTCATCCTGTTCCTCCCCACTCACTGGCCTCCGTCCTCACTGTATCTTCCCCGCACTTGCTGAGGTTGCAGGTTGCAAACTCCTGTACCTGTTCAGTCTCGCTCAGCCTCCAGGCGTTGACTTCTCTTGACCGCTCCCGTGAAATGCTCCTGGTTTCCTCTTGCCGCTGCCCACTCCTACACCCCCTTTCCCCGCACCACTTTACAGCCTTGGCCTCACCTGTCCCAGCGCCCTGGCTCCTCCCAGGTCTTTTCCTAAAACACCAAACCCATACTGTTTGCTGCCAGGGGTAACACCTGTTGTCATGCAAGAGGTATTCACGGGTTCTGGGGGTTAGGACTTGGGCACCTGGGCGGGTAGGCATTTTGCCTGCCACAAAACTCAAGCTCAGCATCTTCCCCATCC